AACAAACTCCACTATCGCCCAATTAACTGGCCAGTCTGAAACTGACTGACTCTCACGTGACATTTAGTTACTCACGCCCGCATCACCCTAGCGAACGGACGTGCGGGACCACAGCCGGCCCCGTGTCGGGGGCTTTGACAGCCACCAGGCCCCGGTACAGAATATACTTCTCCCACTGATGTCTTTCCCGTTCTCCCCTGAAGCTGGACTGGGGCGTGATTATTGTGGCACTCTGAGAACACTTTCAGTGCTTAGGTCCCACAAGTATGTGATTACGCGGAGACTGATTTATTTAAATACTCCATCCTTTTGCACCCGCTGCCAATGTCTGTTGTCGGCTCCGGGGATGGCTTGCAGGGAGAGGACGTAGAAAGTTCAGGCGAACGAAGCTTCTCTGTTGGTCATCCAGTCCGCACTTTTCAATGCTGTCTACTCGCATCTCTAGGCAGTATCTCGTCTCGCCAACTGGCGACCTTCCAAATAACGGCTGTGAACGCGTCGTGATAGGTTAAAAGTGCGTCTTGTTGGTTCACCGTAATATACAGTAGGCGTGCTAAATCATAAAATGTTTACCGGAATTCTGAAATGCGCTTTCTAACCGAAAAGATTTCCCAAGTACGATTTTAATATAAATTACCATGCAGTCTAGTCCCAAGATATTTCACCTACCTCGGGGAGCCGACATTTTAACGAGCTTCTCTCCGGCCGCCTTCGAGGACTACACTCTGTAAAAAGCGGCTTCCCTTGATTTTAGATGCCCTTGTAAATTTAAATATATTGCTTAGAAAACATGTATAAAAAATAAGTTTTTTACTAATCTGATAGAAACTTATGTCTTCCTCAAACAAGGGATGCATGGATGAAGAGTTGCATGTCGTCGGCCGAGGAATTTACCGGCCGAGTGGCCGATATGAGAGCGTGCAAAGTCCAAAGACAAAGAATCCCATCACTACAGATTCAGTAGATCTGGCAGTTGGAAATTGTGGAAGTAGTTGTAAATGCAGAAGGCGAATGGCCGTTCTTTCAGACAAAATACACTTTTGCACAATTTTATGTTCCTGTGTAATTTAGTTCAAATACCAGTTACTTTGACAAAATAAAACTGGTGAAAATCAACTACACGTATCAGAGGAAGAAGTAAAAATACCCCGCAGTGACTGTTGGGTTGTGGGTGGTCAGCGTACATTGAAGTGATCCACGAATTAAAAGTACGACAATATAACGGCTTAAACAATAAAACAGATTTCGAACCACACTACCATTCTGCAGGACCGTCAGATGCCCTGTAAGTCAAGCAATACCTCTGCACAGGTCCATATTCCAAGCCTTCTGTTTCTGGAAATACAGTAGGTGCGCTAAATCATGAAATGTTAACCATAGTTCTTAAATGCGTTTCAGCCCATAATAGATTACTAAAGAAGGATTGCAATGTTAATCACCCAACAGCATAATCCCATAAAAACTCAGTTACCTCAGAATGTTGGCATTTGAAGGAACTTATTTCCGGCCACATGAGAAAACTACACTCTGTAAAAAATGACTGTATAAGTAGCATGCTTTTTTTCTCATTGGTTTTCGATGCCCTTGCAAGTTCAAATATATTTCATAGAAAACATGTAGAAAAATATGTGTTCTCTTACTCATTTGGCAGAGGCTTACATTGTCCGATTTATTACTTGAAGGGAGGCTATCATTCGGTCTTAAAAACCTTTCCATCTCCTGAATAATTTTGAAGCCTTCTTGCTGTTAAACTTGTATTCAAGGCTTCTAAAATACAAGCTGTATATTTTCCGTGTACGGAAAGTCATATATTTCTATACGCTATTACGAGGAGACCATAGGTGGTTCATAAAATTGAGCAGTGGATTTCAGCAACATTAGTAAATGCAGAGATCGATGTTTCACAAACGAGCTTTTCGCAGTCTTGAAAAATCTCATAATTGGAAACTCTTTTGAAACCGCATTAAACCCTTCTTTCAAACAAAAAAAATTTAAAACGACGTAATTTTCTTCCAAGTGAATAAAGGGCATAAATATTTTTTTCCATATTTTCGATTAAATATCCAGTAGATGTGCTAACTCATTAAATGTCAACCAAAATTTCGAAATGCGTTCTCGTTTCGAAAAGATAAATTAAGTAGTGTTATAAAACTAATCATGATGCAGCATAAATCTATAATGATCCAGTTACCTCAGGGTGTCGGCTTTCGAAAGAACTTCCTTTCGGCTGCATGCAAGATCTATACTCTGCAAAAAAATGACTTCTTAAGAAGAATGCACTTTTCTCATTGATTTTCGATGCGCTTGAAAATTCAATTATATTTCATGGAAAACACGCATAGAAATATTTATTCTTTTACTTGTTCGGTAGAAAATCACGTCTTCTTTCAATTTCAAACTCAAAAGAAAAGTATAATTCGGTTTGTAAAACACTTTTCTAATTCCCCAATAATTTTGAACCCGACCTGCTGTTACACTTGCATTCAGGGTTTCAAAACTACAAACTGTATATTTTCCGTGTACGGAAAACCATGCAGTTCTCTACGGTTTTAAGAGGAGATTATATGAGGTTCATAAAATTAAGCAGTGGATTTGAGCAATATTGATAACTTTACAAGCCACATTAGTAAATGCAGGTACATAACGTTTCATGAACGGCCATGTAGCGGTATTAAAAAATCTCACAATTAGAAACTTTTTTAAAACCGAATTATACTCTTCTTTTGTGTATATAATCGAAAGAAGACGTAATTTTCTACCGAATAAGTAAAAGAATAAATATTTTTATGCATGTTTTTCATGAAATATAATTGAATTTTCAAGGTCATCGAAAATCAATGAGAAAAGTACATTCTTCTTAAGAAGTCATTTTTTGCAGAGTATAGATCTTGCATGCAGCTGAAAATAAGTTCTTTCGAAAGCCAACACCCTGAGGTAACTGGGTCATTATACATTTATGCTGCATCATGATTAGTTGTACAACACTACACTCTTTTCGAAACGAGAACGCATGTCGAAATTTTGGTTGACATTTCATGAGTTAGCACATCTACTGTATTCGAATTTCTAAGAGCGTCAAAAGTCAATGAGGAACATTCATACTAATAAAGCAGTCATTTTTCGCAAAGTGTAGTCTTCGAAAGTCGCCGAAAAGTTCATCCAAATTATGGATTTCCGAAGTAACAGAAATATCTTGGGTTAACGGTGCATAATATTTAATATGACAACCCTACTTATGAAATCTTTTCAAGTCGAAAGCGCATCTAAGAATTTCGATCAATATTTCATGAGTTAGCACACCTACTGTAAATAAACTGGCAACAAAACACATCGGAACAGGAGTTTTCGTTCATTCCTTCAGGAAGACAGTTTAATCACCACATGCAAATACCAGTTAATGGATGGTGCGAGAGCAAATGGGTGCGTATAAAACTGCACAACTATTATGGGGAAAATTCGTGTCTCAATTTCCGTATTTCGGTCACTTCACAGGTCACATGTCATGCCAGAGTTTGTTAAACTGAACGTGGATATGCCAGTGCACGGCAGGAAATATGCCACAGACGGAAAGGCTTCGTAATCATTCATTCAAGGTGAAGGAAAAGGACAAAGTTATTCAGACTTCGATCAACAAATTGCCTGATCGGTGTGAAATGTCATTGTGTTTTTACTTGTCACCTAAAAGGACATAAGGGAAACCGGGAACAGAAGACAGCATTCCAAAGACAGGTTTCAAACTAAGTACATTTTTTAAGCAAAGCAGGAAAAATAACCAGGGACCAATAAAGAACGCAAGGGGGGTTGCGGTACCTATAAATCATCAGATTATGAACTAAGGTGTGCGATAGGAATATAACCGAGTAATCTAATGAATAAATTTACGAATTTTTGTGAAATGATTTCAATATGAAGGGAGAATGAGACATTTGAGGACAGAGTAACACCAGGATACCGGAACGAGAATACCTCGTTAGGAAGAATGTCAAAGGATTCGGGAATGGGAAAGGGTCGCAGTCGAAACACAAATTGGATTTATTTTTGATTAGCAAGAATAAACCACTTTCCGCCGATCATGCAGAAACATGGTCCAAGTCATCCTTCTGAAACTGGAGGTGCGTCTAATTTTAATAGGGTGGCCAGCAAATACGTCATCGGCACACTTAACATATAGGCAGTCACTGGACAATCTCAGATCATCAGTGTGAAGTGGAAAGATTCGACGTAATAGAATGGGATCTTAAAGGACTCCGCAGTCATCAGGAAGAAGGGTAGATTTCCGCTTGCCGGAATGCACAAATTGAGGACGGAAAGCAAAATAATCTCTAAGTCAAGAAACAATCCGGTCAGTCGAGCCACACTCGAATGTTTTGCTGAAGAGGGGGAGGACGACGAGGTGGAACGAGGCTGTGTTTACAGCGGAAGAGCGGTCGAGAAATGCACCCGTATACGCGCGGCAACCCTTGTCAAGCTCTCTGAGTGATCCGCAAGAGTTACGGCGTTCAAGTTACTACCCCGGGCTTTATGTTCAAATTCTGAAGGGTGGGCTTACTTGGAGGAGACTAGCAAAACCAACTTTAGGGCAACTCATTCAGCGAGCTTCATAAATGTGAAGGAGCATACAATTTTACGGGGGGATTTAGGACCAAAATTAGCAGATTTCTTAGGGATGGAAGCCACGTCGTCATCTCAAGCTTCCGTCTTTCGATTCAGCAAACATGACTTGTTCTCATTTACTGAGTGTACTGTTTTAAAATTACTAACTTTGCACGAATGGAGGCAAATATGCAAGTTGCAGGTTCTTGCTGCAAAGAATATAAACGCGCGATCAATTTTCTACCCAATTTTCTTTTACTTATGATTGACTAAACCCGTTACGTGTCTGATCCGAGAAGGCCCGAACTCGGTTATGTTGATGGAGCGAGAAAAATGACGCAGTTTTTTGTATTCTTTTATTTGTGCTCTGGCAAAACAAATCGACAAGAACTTACAACATGAGCAATTTAGTTTGGGCTTATTTGCCATGGAATTTCGGCCAATGTGATCTGTGAAATGTCAGTTACGCCTTCTTAAGGAATCATCCGTACCGTCAGAGGGCTCTCAACCTAGGAATTGGTAAAATGACTGTTGACATCGGTTCAAGCATTGCAGTAAGTGGCTTGTTTGCTTTTTCGTATTTGCCATGGCCTTGTCGACCGACCAGGTTACGTAGATTGGATGCGATAGTGGTGGGAGAGGTACGGGAATGAGGCTGACTTGTGAAATCGTTTCGTTCTCTTTTGTAATCATGACATTCAATGTCGTTTCGTTCATGCGTCCAGTCAGGAAGAGCATATCCTTGAGATTTGTATCTTTAACAGAAATAAATAAAGTTCAGCGGGTGAAAAAAAACACAAAAAAGAACAATGGCAAGTTATCAGTTTTCTCCATAAGGCCGTTTGAGGGGAATTTGTAACTGTCTGAATTGACGAACGTTCAAACGAGGAAAATAAGGTATTTTCGAAGCCTTCAGAAAATATGCAAATCCATATCTTCCAGAATCTGTGAAACCGGTATACTGTGAGCTTTAAAGGTTTTTGTTTTTGTTTGGAGAAGCATTTAAGTCTAACCCATTATTAACGCCGAATTCAGTATAACAACTTCATTTTTGTAGCAAGTTAATTCAAATAAGAGGGACAACAATTGATCGAGGAAATATGTTTGCGTCTACACATTCCTCCTTATATGTACTTGTTTTATTATGAACCCCCGAGAATTCGCATAATGGTGTTCTACGGCACTTGGACACTATGCTTCTTCATGTTAAAGAATTTTTTCATTCTGATAACACAAGACACTGCTTAGTTAAGGTAGGGCGATAGTTGTACAGTCAAATTCTGTGGTCCCATTAGGTACAGGAAAATTGAAAGCTTCTCCCAGAAGGTTTAACTACACTGTTACAGTTTTTGTTCCTCTTCACAATATTGCACAATTTAATAGTTGGTGGTACATCAGTTGAGAAAAAGGAAATTCTTACCGGTGCACGTAAGCAAACAGCCAAAAACGAAGTGATCAGAAAAAAGGCCCGTTACAGTACTCGGTACTATGAAGCAGCAACAACACCATTGATATGCTTACTCGTGAAATTTTAATCGAAAACCTAAAATATGCTTTCGACTCGAAATGATTACTTAAATATGGTTGTAATATTAATCACCGTACAGCATAATCCCCAGATAATTCATTTACTTCAGCATGCCATCGTTTGAAGAACTTCTTTCTGACCGCCTGCAAAGAATACACTTTGTAAAAAATGGTTACTTAAGCAGTATAGATTTTTCTCCTTGATTTCCGATTCCCTTAAAAACTTAATTATATGTCGTAGAAAACATGCATGAAAATATTCGTTCTTTTGCTCGCTCGGTAGAAAATTACGCCTTTTAAAATTTTATATTCGAAGGATGGGTATAATTCGATTTTAAAAACTTTTCCAATTCCTGAATAATTTGGAACTCGACTTGCCATTACACTTGCATACGGGGTTTCAAACTACAAGCTGTATATTTTCCGTGTACGGAAAATCATACATTTATATATGCTATTAGGAGGGGACCATATGGGATTCAGAAAATTTAACAGCAGATTTGAGCCATATTGTGAACTCCCACAAGCAGCATTAGTAAATGCAGTAATCGATGTTTCACTAAGGGGCTTTTTGCACTCTTAAAAAAATCTCATAATTAGAAACTGTTTCAAAACCAAATTAAACCCTTCCATAAAATATAAATATCGAAGAGTACGTAATTTTCTTGCAAATGAATGAAAGAGTGAATATTTTGTGCATGTTTTCTTTGAAATATATTTGAATTTGCAAGGGCATCGAAAATCAATGAGAAAAATTCCTACTACTTAAGTAGTCACTTTTTTAAAAAAAGGGCAGTTGTTGCTGTCCGCCGGAAATAAGTGTGTTCAAAATCTGGCAATTTGAAATACCTGAGATATTTTGGGATTATGCTGGATGGTGATCAATAGAATAACCTTACTTAAGTAATCTTTTCGAGTCGAAAACTCATTTCAGAATTTCAGTTAACATTTTTCGAGTTAACACATCTACCGTACGCATTAAGTCGGAGTAAGTTTTGTTTTTCTGCCTGTCACGAGACCTACTTTATGCATGTGACATATCAGACAAAGCAGGACGAATCAAGTAATCCTGTCGTAAGTGATACTTTCGTAGGAAATGACTCAACTGTGGGTTTATTAAATTCCACTGTCATAAATTTTACGTATTTGCGGTTAGAGCATTTTTTCTGAAGCGGCCTATTTAGCGCTGTCCGGCAGAGACAGTTATTATTTGCCAACGATCCAGTTTTAAAATAAAGTGGAATCAATTGATGGTTGGATGTTATTTTAAATCTACGTCGAGGCCAGATTTTCAGCTCGCAGATCAGTCAACGGAACAACTGTTTGGCGTGGCTGTTTCATGAAGTAAATCGTTCCTCTGTCTATGCTATGACTGTCAGCGTTCACTCCTACATACGCTACCCTCTATGTTTTTGTCACTTCAGATGTGTGTACACACACCGCAATAAATTTGATGCTCAGATGGATGTCACCCTTCAACCGGAAATAAAGACGGTGCAGCAACATTATGGATCAGAGTGCGTGGATTGGGAGAAGAATATCAACGGCTGCCAATATGGACTCTTAAGGCGTCATATTACGTCTTCACTCCACCTGAAGTTTGTTACATGCGAGTTCTTGCCTATAACTTGTATTACACCTCGCGTGCGTTTGAGATCAGGGCTTCTTCGTCTAGGCTAATTTGGCTTTTAGGCGCACATTCCCTTCGCGCAGTTGATTTGCCCGCCAACTTGGAACAATGGGGTCTGTCATCGACGTAACTGACCTTGAGTCTGCCAGTGTCCTGGAGGGGGGAAGGTGTGCCGCAATTGGCTGGCTGTGCTGACGCGATCAACCCCATTTAGTCATTGTGCAAGGTCATGCGGACCTTAGAATCATCTCGGCCTTCGTTTTCATTTCCTCTCCTTGCACAGCCTTTTCCCGGGACCTGGCGTACGAACCGAGTCCCAGTCATTACAGTGTTTTACTGACCCATCAGAAAAGGAGCATCTATTTTTCGGACGAGTCTGGAATTAGAACCTTGATGTATGTGTGTATGTGTATGTTTTTATGGAGAGAATTTTGTTTTGCCTAACTGTAACTTACTCCATGTAGTGACAAGCAGAAGCTGATTCTCCGGGGATGGCTTGAGATCCATCGATCCGACGACAAAAATGCTCTGAAAGGATTAAAAATAACACTCTTTCCAGCAAGAAAATCCCTTTCAATGAGAGCATTATATAATCACCTACCCAAGACTCACCCGAATCTCCGAGTCAAAAATGAGACGTTGGTTGATTTTTTCTTCAGGACTAACATAGATCGTGTCGATTACTTTTACATTTGACGGCATCAGTGGATCTATAAATGTATATAACAAAAATGAGTTCTTTTATGTTCGAGAAAAAAGAAGGAAAATTCCCCCGATAGCATTTAAGTTTGCTAGATGCTATTCACTAACGGGATGGTAAATCGTGCAAAAATCCCCCATTAAGAGACAGGTTCCCCAAACCGGATTCCCTGAGTTTCAGTAGGAACGAGTCTAGTTGCCACCTAAAAATATTCGTTAGCGATTAATCATTCAAGCACTTACCAAATAAAGAGACTTATTTTACTGATTTCTCTCAAATTCAACACACTTGTTACACATTTTTTGAGCGCTGCTCGTAAACATTAATGCCACTGTTTACGGCAGGTCATTTGACATCTGATCTGTAAATTACCGCCGTCCAAATCCTAAACCAATCGAGCAACGGCCGCCGTAGAAAACCGAACAGAATGCCGCTCTATGGAGCTTGCTTTCGGGTTATGACAAATAAAAGACGGGAGAAAGTTTTGTCGGATGGTAGATAATCATAAATCGATTTGAAAGTCAAGACCAAACGCAAAAGTGGTCTAAATTATTAAAACTAGCTGCCCAGTGACGTTTTCAGTGAGAAGTGTCTTAATACCTGTAGCAAGTCACTCACCTTTCTTTGCTACTGCTATTGATATATGGTGGACACTGGAGCTCTTGAATGTCCGCTCCACGTATTTAAATATATCTTCAGATGGACAGATCGAACTAAGTTTATTTTCAGTAGCCATAAATCAGAAACATGGTCGAATGGAAAGATTTACCACACCCCAGCCCACATTAACTAACTATTGCTACCCCACTCACATCCTGTTCCTTATTTAAGTATCACCGAACTTCGGGGAATTGATTTCTCGTATTCACAAAGTCAGCTAGCTTCCCTACGAAAATGGCAAAGATGGCATTTTCAGTCTTTAAAAATTGCCTCTTTCCGCGTGTCAGCTTTATCAGAAACAGACTCAGAGAAAACTTTCTAACTCTTTCGTTTCACAAATCAGAAAACCAAATATTGGAGACAGATAATGCATAAGCAGTTCCCTAAGATGCCGAAAGACCAGACGCAGACAGTTGTTTCGCGGTCGTTGCCGACCACTAGTACGTCATAGGCCATATTGAGTGAGGTATATAAACATGCCAGTTAGGCAAATGACCCTCGCTGCTGTGGTCAGGATCTCACTCGATCCCATTCTGTCCGCCCGCCAGCTTGCTACTGGCGACAACGAACGCTGTGTCAGAGGACACATACCACATATAATACATGAGCAGCTCGCTAAGAGTGCAACAGGCCAGACGCAGACAGCTGTTTCACGGTCGTTGCCAATCATCAGTACGTCATAGGCCTTATGCAGTGAGGTATAATACATATGAAGCTCATTAAGGGTGCAGCAGGTGGGGCACAGGCATATTTATATACCCCACTTCCTATGACTTACTGATGATCGGTAACGACCGCGAAACAGCCGTCTGCGTCTGGCCTGGTAAATTCTTAGGGAACTGCTAAGGCATCTCAGGTTGGCATTTGATCCCCACTGTTGTGGCCAGGATCTCACTCGATCCCATTCATACTCTCAAAGAGATGCTTCTGTATTATATGCGGCATGTGTCCTATGGCACAACGTTTGATGTCGTAGGTAGTAAGCTGGCGTGCGGACAGAAAGGAATGAAGTGACATTAGAGATAGAGTCATCTAGGGGAATTCGGGAGCTTCTTTTAGATTATCCACTAGCATCATTAATCCTTCCCCGGCAGATGTACATGCCCAAATGACTTTAAAACCTCCCTTGATTCACATGACGCAGTGTTTTTCATGTATGCCGTGAAGGTAGCAAAATTAATCTTAGGGTTGGTATCTATGATAAACCACTGTTAGTTTAAAATTTGAAGCATTTTGTCCCCGGTACGAAGCTGAATTAGGCAAGAAGAGCAGGATTTATTGGTACCAAAAGATTTCGCGACGGCTCTTCAGCTGCGTCCTGTCGCTTCATAAGAGAGATAACAAGTGAGAAGAATACAACAGATTTGAATTCGTGCAGAAAATCAATGCAGAAACAGCAAGCTCAGGGTTTTGGGTAAAGCTGACAAATCGATAAAATTAGTAACTCAAACACCGTAGGCCAAGAATGTGAAAGGGGGAATGTTAAAGAGCAAAAATGAGAGGAGAAAGGGAAAATCATGGAGCTAAAGGCTACCATGGCAATGTTAGGTTCACCACGTGTTCCAATTGTTTACAAAGATCTGGTTTCATTCGTCGTATATAGGCCGCCTTCAGGTAACGCAATGTCCGAGTTGTTCGTGCCCGAACAAGTACTCGGAAGGAAGTTTTGGGGTCGCCGGAGTGACCACTATCAAGCAGGTGTTTCGTAATGGAAGAACGCGGGGTTTTATTTTCTTGTCTTCAGAGCCATCTGCGCAGGTGCTCACTTTCTTGGCCTACGGTTTTTGAATTACTAACTTTATTAATTAGCCAGATTTACCCAAAACCCTGACCTTGCTGTTTCTGCATTGATTTTCTGCACGAATTCAAATCTGCTGTATACTTCTCACTCGTTATCTCTCTTATGAAGCGACAAGACGCAGCTGAGGAGCCGTCGCGAAATTTTTTGGTACCAATAAATCCTGCCCTTCTTGCCTACTTCGACTGTAAGTCTAACCTTAATGAGGCTTGACAACAGGGTGAATCTGCCGAGAGGGCAGCATGGCCGTTTACGTACCTCATTGTCACACATTTTATTTTACTTTTTACAGGCTTCAGTTCCCCTGCTAAGGCGTCTCTTCCTGGAGTCAGCGGTTTAAACAGAGACATGTAGGTAATACCGTTGTTGCACGGCCCATCCTGGTATTTCGCTTAATCCGACCTCTTATCCTGTTTGATCGCCCCATTCGACGAGGTCCACTGTGCACTCCGTAACATGTCGGGAGTAGTAGGGTAACTTGAGCGAGAGATTGTTTTTTACTGATAGAGCACTTGCGTAGCATCTGACGCGCTCTCTCCTTCCTTACCCCCTGGACACTGTGGCAGGAAAGAGCCAGAGCGACTGGAGGTGGGTTCAGGCGCAACGGCCGTGAGAGTTCGACAGTCCATCTACGCGTGCCGCACACAGTCCGGCCTCCTCCGCAATACACCGGGTTTTCCTTAAAAGACAGACGTGGGGACAGCAGAGCACCTTTGACGTCTGCTCTGCTCTTCGGTCGTTCAGGGAAGCACTTGAAAACAACTTACCACTGCCTTGTCCGGCCATCTTTTTGTACACGAGAGCAACAGGCCCCCGACGCCGGTCCATTGGATAGAAGATAGCGGCTGCATTGTCCCCAGACAGTCGACCGCCTATTATAGCATATTGTCGACCTAAAAAGACATTTAAATCCACAACAGCGGTGGAAATGTAAATAGTAAAACAATTATTTGTGCACAGCACAGCAGATCAAGGCATGTCGAACGTACGGCTGACAAATTGCCAACAGAAATTTGGTGCCTTGCATGGGGCATCATCGAAGCCCTGGGACATCGGAACGATCGTCGTAACATCCTGAAAAGAGGAAACAAATAATTCTGAAGGTAGACACGACAGATGCAGCAAGAGGTACTTTATTGGACTCGCTGTTAAGCCGACTCACCGTTATATTTTCCTCTGCGTCGATATAAACAAAGAGGTCGCTGTTTTTCGGATATTGTATGTTGGCCAAACAGCCTGAAGTGCAAAAAATCTTTGTTTAAAGGTATTTCATACTTCACGATGTGGGCACTTCAATAAAAACTTTGGAAAATTGTTACAGTAGGTGACTATCACATGAAATCTTAACTGAAATTCTGAAATTTGCCATCGATTAAAAAGCAGTACTTGGGTGAGGTTATAAGAATCATTACTCTCTAGAGTTTAACCATGATATTTCAATTATGCCAGGATACCGGCCATAGACATTACCTCCTTCCGGCTGCGTGCACAAATCACATTCGGTAAGCAATTTTCAGCTAAGGTTGTTTGTTTTTTATTGCATTCTCGAGACCTAATTAATCTCAATATATTTAGTAAAAAGGTATGCGTAAACATATTTTTTGTCCCGCTTAGTCGTAAATTACGTCTTATGCTCATTTACTACTAGAGGGAATCTTCTAGTCCTAAAACAGTTTTCTAATTCTAGAATCATTGGAACACAAACCGCCGTTTCACTTACATCTGATTTTTCAACCTACGAGTACTTTATTTTTTATTTAGGGAAAGCTGCACATTTTTCTACGCTATTAAGAAGAAGCCATACGTACATAGCTCATAAATTTGGGCAATGAATATGGACCACATTGTATAATTCATAAGTACCATTAATAAACTTGTCACAATCTTAGAGAATTTCATACTAAAAGGCTTCTTTAAATCAAAAGCTGTCCTTTTCCACATATAGAATTTGAAGAAGACGTAACCGTCTGCAAAATGAGTCTAAAAAAGATATGTTCATGCATTTTTTCCATAAAATTTGCTCAAATTTATAAGGAAATTGAAAATCAAAGTAAAAAATTAGGATGGTTAAATGGTCGTCTTGGGTAAGGTGAATTTCGTAGGCGGTCGGAGAGAAGCGAATTTAAAGCCTGCGCGCCTGTGTGACTGAAATATCTTGGGATTACGCTACATGAGGTTCAATATTACAACCCTACCTAAGAAAGTCTTCCCAAATGATTACAAATTTCAGATTTTCGGTCGACATCACATACCGCTAATGTATTGGAGTTGTGCTTGCATGCCCAGACTGGGGCCAATAGTCACCCCAAAACCAATGCCTTATTGTTTTGTAGATTTGTGTTTTTAGAGCAAGCGCATCCTACGAAAAAGGCATTCTTGAAGAAGAAGAAGAAGAAGAAGAAGAAGAAGAAGAAGAAGACACGATCGCCGGGACAAGAGCTTTATTAGCCTGATGTTTCGGATTCCTGCGCTAATCCATCATCAGAGACATAAGCAGATAAGGATTATGTCTCTGATGATGGATTCGAGCAGGAATTCGAAACGTCAAGCTAATAAAGCTCTTGTCCTGGCGATCGTGTCTTCTTCTTCAAGACTGTTTCCTGGGACTCGTCTCTTCGTTTCTATTGGCAATGTATTTGGGCGCGATGCCCTCTGATCGGCCCGGCGATGGGAAACCTTCGCCCTTCGGGAGGTCTCCACGTATTCGCAGATCCGGTTTCTGCACAGGTGTCTTGACAATAACGTGTTGCCGAAATGTGTTTCATAGAAGCCTCCGGTTAACACAGATTTGGCGAGACGAGCAGAAAAAGGCATTCTTGTCTGTAGTTCTCTGAAGATGGATTTGGTTGGGAATCCAAAGTGTCAAGCGAATAAAATTCCTCTTCCAGCGCTCTAAGCTCAGGTATACACCCAGCAGCGGGGACTATGTATCGGAACAGAGAGAAAGTCAAGGGGAAAGGAAACGCATATGTGTCAGGAATGTTATAAAACCGGCTTGCGCGCTCTTCGCGTGACCAATTACTCTGTCAAGGCCAAGTCTCAGCAATGAGGAGGAAAAGCCCTTGTATTTGTTAATAGAATGGAGGTCGGAGATCCTTAAGCCCATCAACACACGGCTCATCGTAATTCGTTGTGTCGCTTAGTTCCGTTGAATGAGCCACGACTTCAGAGCTGGCTTCATTCTGTCTCGCCGCTCCTGCATGTTCTGTCATCCGCGTGTGAGTGACCTTCCAGTTCCTCTCACGCATGCCCTTTGCCTGAAACTGTATCAGAGCCGGTAACCGACCTCCAACGCTTGCTGTCATAGCAGAGGATTGAAGAAGAAGAAGAAGAAGAAGAAGAAGAAGAAGAAGAAGAAGACACGATCGCCGGAAGTTCTTCTTCAAGACTGCCTCCTGGGACTCGTCTCTTCGCTTCTATAGCAGAGGATCTTTCACTCGCAATGCCGGGCCCCCAATCGTTGCCTCCGGTCTATGTGAAATCCCACCTTCCACATGGTGACTTTGAATCCGAACGCTCAAGTGAAGAAAATTCTGGTTCCGACAATTGTCTTACCCTCTTCTCAGATGGGACTCACCTTTTCGTTTTCATCGACAGTTCACTGTATTAGTCGGTTGCACCTCGCGTAGTTGAATAATTGTTAGCTTCGAGAGCTCACACGCGATTATCATGCATAGCTTGTCATCAGTGTTCTGGGCTTGTTTGCCCCATGAACCTACCAAAATCTCACATTCTTCTGGTCTGCTTCCATGAACTCGCACCCTATTAGAGCGGTAAGCGTACCACTCGGCTCAAAATTTGTTATTCCTAAGTTGTCTATCTAAGCGCAGATTCGTAAACCTCTATCTGTGGCCATATCTGATGCCGTATCCGACTGAGAATCTAAAGCGTCATGTGAATAAGAATCTTGTTCCAGGACTCATGTATTTTTCTTCTGACCAGTTTAGATTGTTGCGAGCCCAGTTTAGTCTGCTACCAGAATAACTGCCCACTTTACTCCGCGTGTCAATACGTAAAGCAAGGTAATTCTGAATGCAGGGATTCGCCGAAGCCTTCGTCCAACCGCAAGGGATCAGAATACAACGGGAAAAAATAACGGCTGATCCTAATAGCGCAAAAAAAACAACTACTACATTGCACACCCAGCTAGTGCTTCCCAAAGGACGCATTGGTGGCTTGGACGCTAGAGATGCAACTCATAAGATGTCACATAGTTTCTATGATACCAAACAGCAAGCGGATTCATGGTACCATTCAGTAGTAGGCAGGCATGACCACTAATCACAAATAGTCTTGCGCAGAATGAACAAAAGAGGCCCACTTGACTGGTATTGAGATTGCAGGTCAAAGAAAAGCACATAATTCCTCTAGATATAGTATTCAATTATTGCAGGCACCAATCGGCATACTTATTTGGATGTCAAATGACAAAAATGCTTGGTAAAAAGCACTCACAGGTTCAACCGGGTACTCCGTCCCAACCTGCACATATTGCACGCCGTCCGAAGAATGTTCGCACATACGAGCATACAATACGAAGGGGTCCATTGTCAATTGGGCAGTCGAGTTCGCATACTAATCGACCGCACCAAATCGATAGGGTCGCAGATTGCGTCGGTTACCACCATACGCCCAAGCATAAATCTTTATACTTAAATTTTGTGAAGCCTCTTGCAAATTTTCAGTACGAATGAGACCCTTAAGAGCCGTCAGAATTGCTTGTTCAGGGTTGTATATACGGTAGCACTTTGGCTCTTAGTTCCGACCACATGGAAGTGGCATCGATTCAGCTTATTTATGGGCTGTTCACGCTAACCATGTCACAGTGCCGTCGGCGAGCTCTGCGACATTTGACAAACCATTTGGCGCACTAGATCTCGGCTTTTCGCCCCAACATACGGCCATGCTGAGTTGCTACTGCAGTCGCACGTGTTAGCACAATTGTGTGGGAAGACACTCTTGCTCAGCTGTCGCCATGAGAGCGAGCAGTCATCTTCTGGGACATCTTAAATGTCAATATCTACACATGAGCGTTAGCCAGTAGGACCACGATGTGCCGAAGAGACTGAGCTGAGCCGTGGCTATTTAGCCCGTCCAGTGGATGAGTCAGAGAAACCGTGCCTGGACCCCTCGCACCCGACGAACTGATTCAGTACTCCGCTGACATCTGATGCACCCAAAAGACCCGGTTCGGGCTGGAGAGGAGTGGTTGCCGCCTACCAAGTTTAGTACTATTGCGGAGAGCGTAGAAATGGATTTTTTATGTGGATACGGATGCACGAACACGGGCTGACGGTGCGGGGTCAGAACCATATTCAAAAGTGATAAAACATGCCGCCAAAACGATCCACGGGTTGCCCTCGAGCAATCTTGAATTGGCGGGTCTAGGAGATGGTCGCACGACAAGGTGATTGCGGAGGATGTGGTTGCTAGTCGTCACATTGACCTGCCTGCTGCGCACGGGACCTTGAATACCTGCCCTGCAAAGTCGGACAGGACATTCTTCGGTCTGATTCACCAGTAATATTCGTACATAGAGTGAATAGGAGTGTCGGTGCACGTAGGGTTCCTCCGATTTCCTAACAGTCAGCATCTCCTACGGTTTCGTGAGATTCCACCTCATCCCAAAGGACGCAGACCAACCCTAACAATCGACACTAACTAGGATTCCGCAGTCACTTCGTTCCCAAATTTAGCGCAACCTGCGATCCACAGGGCGCGGAGTACCGTTCAGAGTGGACAAAAAGGATCCCAAAAATCGGCAAGATATGAGGCGCCGCGATCGACGGTGAAACACACATCAGCATGCTGGGGGGCATTGGCCAAACACGCATCAGGGCCGGTTGAAGGCACCATTAGTGCACCTTATAATATTACCTGCATAAAACGTTCGCTTTTCAAGACAGTATGTTGTTATCTAAGTTAGCAGAACTCTTAGCTTGCATTTAGACAAGTCGGCTGCCCACTTCCGTCTCAGACAGTACATTTCCTATCTGTTTTCAGTTCCCTACTTCAATAGCATTTACCAAGATGGCACTTGTCAAAATTTCCCTCTGACTTATGTAATTAATTTCTTTCAGTGATAAGGAATGTCCTGGGCAGACGTATCTGTTTCCACGCTAGTGGATAATGTCGCAAGGGTGTAATAAGCAAAACTTGTCGAGGGGAGAAGGGGGCAAACTAAAGGAAGGACTGAAGTTCAGACTTACTTGTGCAAAGTATTAGTAACAGAATCAAGGGCGTGGGACGTTGCATTTTTCGAACTCCGCTCATGGACATTCGTGCGCAAATTTATACGAAGATCTGGATGTCCAGTTACGTCGTGGGCGTGTCAAACGCAACCATGAGCAGAGAATGCAGTCAGCAGGTGCCTCACTTTAGTGTTTACGCCAACATCAGCACGCTAGTAGTAAACAAAATCTTGAATCTCGTCGAGTTTGCACTCTTTTTACACCTCCGTTTTTATCGGACTGCGGCACAGCGTGAGGGTATATAAACACGTTTTTTTCAAACTCACATTGTCTTTCTTGGCGAATTTTATGGAGACATCTAACCTGACCTATGTTCAATGATTTCAGTATGAGGGGGAAATAGCGGCTGAAGGAGACGCGTACAGTCATGTGTTTTCTCAGATTGGTGTGTTGAAGGCGTACGCCAGCCTTATCAACAGTTCAGACTGTATATTTTTAAATTTTGATCTACATAAGGCACTTTTGATGAACTGTTGATATTCCGCAACTCTACTGAGTAGCAAATATTTTCTCACTGAAAAGTATGATTGTCAGAAACTTATGTCTCCGGTAGAGTCATCATGCTTATTTCACGAATTCGTGCCAGATGTTGTGCCTGCGAGGTAAGGTTGATGCAGCGTACATAGTCTCCTATTGGCGATTATTGACAAATACGCAAAATTATACGCCAGGGTACCACTGCATGCTTCAGGATTTGAATCGAAAGCTTATGGATATCGAAGAGCACTGTGATTAATGTAATAACCGCAGGATCTAATACACTCTCGTCCATCTTCATAGCCTGAACCCATCTGTGTCGACTTCTAGCCCGTACTGTATCCACAACTGCGTCCCGATTGCCATGGAAGAAGACCGTCGACATTTTTACCGACAGATTCTATCGATTAAGTGTACTTTCTCGATATGCATACGCAACCTTCAATACGCAGATATTCTCTGACTGTAGTGGCGTACCGAAAATTAGCGTCAGTCGTAAATACACTGTTTGCATACTCCTTCTGTGTACACACTAGCGTTGTAATTTAGAAGTGACCAAAGTCGTCCAACTTCTACCACTAACATTTCGGTCACCAATCCCACTCTTCTTGGTCTTCGTGATAACTTCAAAAAATGGCCGCGCCATGCTAGACATCACTGCTCAACCGGTCTGGTCTGTCGCTCAAGCAGGCGCAAGTATTTGTTTCAAACACGATACCTCCCGCACTCGCACCTACAATTTGTAGCGTAAGTCATTAAATATGCACAAATTCACGAGAAATCCCTATTCTATCGGTAATCAGCCCTAATCTGCCCACCTAAATGCGCAAATAAAAATGATCAACCCTAGGGTAACAGAAAACATGAAAACATACTTAAAAGTAATGTTTCACTGTTTAAAAATATCCATTGTTAAAGAAACGGTAAAGCCGAAAGCTCGAATATTTGCTTCAAATGAGCAGACTTCAGTTGTAGGACTACTTAGAACCTGCTCATGTAAGCAAATGGGTAACTAAAAGTTTGTGAGCAAAATAACTTTAAAAAACGTTTTGGGTACTTTTCTGGATAAGTGTCCTTCGGAAATCGGGCAATATACAGTAGGGCAGCTAGTCAGCGGCTTGAATATAGGGCGGCGCTATTGTTGCTAATATGTGTAAATAACTTCGTTAATAAAATAACTTAGACATATATCTGCGTTAGAAAAGTGTCTTTCTGTAAAGTATTAATCCAATAAGTGAAATTCGCAAATTGTACATAAATCGCACTGGTCATCTATAGTTCAGTGTTCACGCCTCTTGAAGCACGTCATCTATTGCACTTCTAATTTGTATTGGACGGTTCGGGAAGACTGGCTGACATGGAGCTCTGGTATCTGACTACCTCTGTATGTAAGCAAAAAAAGGGTGGAGTACGGAAATGGTGTGTCTCGCCGTACCGTGCGTTAAGTAATTCTTAACTGGAGAACTAATGTAGTCCGAAAAATCGATTATTGGTCGTTTTAACCTGATAGTACAGTGCGTGACCTATCTCATGAAATGTCGGCTGAAATTCTGAAATGCGTTTTCGATTAGGAAGGATTACTTGGTCGCGGTTGTGATACTGATTATCGTAAGGCATACTCTTATAACATTTTGGACTCGGCAGGATGTCGGCTTTTAAATGCACTTCTTTTCAATCTCCTGTAGAAAGCGTACTCGGTAAAAGATGACTACTTAAGTAGCATGCATTTTTCCCATTGATTTTCGATGGTCTTGGAAATTCAAATATATTTTATAGAAACCATAAACGAAAATGCGCTTTCTTTTAGTCAATCAATAGAGAATCACGTCTTCTTTATATTTTATATTTAAGAAAGGCGTATAATTTGGTTTTAAAAAAGTTTCTAATTATGACAATTTTTAAGACCGCGAAATGTCCATTCACATAGTGTCGTACCTGGCCGTTTACCACTGCTCCTCATGAAATGTACAACATGGTCCGCATCCATTGCAAAATTTTATGGACCCTGTATGATTTCTCTTTAATGATATAGAAAAATATAGGATTTTCTTTACGCGGAATGCATGCACCTTGTAGAGTGTAATCACTAAGCGCTAATGCAACGAATGATCAGGCTCCAAATTTTTCGGTAATTAGAAAACTTTTTCAAACCGAATTTTACTCCTTCCTTAAGTATAAAATATAAAGAAGACGTGATTCTCTATTGATTGACTAAAAGAAAGCGCATTTTCGTTTATGGTTTCTATAAAATATATTTGAATTTCCAAGACCATCGAAAATCAATGGGAAAAATGCATGCTACTTAAGTAGTCATCTTTTACCGAGTACGCTTTCTACAGGAGATTGAAAAGAAGTGCATTTAAAAGCCGACATCCTGCCGAGTCCAAAATGTTATAAGAGTATGCCTTACGATAATCAGTATCACAACCGCGACCAAGTAATCCTTCCTAATCGAAAACGCATTTCAGAATTTCAGCCGACATTTCATGAGATAGGTCACGCACTGTACATTCCATGAACTGAATTGAGAGTTGGGTCGATGTCATATTTGAACACTTAATTTTATTCGGGGACAACAATAGTTTTGAGAAAAAAAGCTGCAAATTTGTCTACATGGAAGTGGCGTGCACCGGTTTAGTCCTGAGCCCTAGGCAGCATGTAACATGCGCGTGATTAGCGAATGTTCGAGGTCATGAGCGTGTGGTTAGAGCTCCTAGGCGCTGACTGACTATCCAACAGTCCAGAGTGATTCCTATTAATTCTGGGTGCCTAGTCCACTGATTTCGGGAACTCCAAGACAGAACGGAAAGAGTAAGTTCCTTAGCGCGATCGGCGAGCGTGCCTCCGCTATTGTACATACGCGATCGCAACCGGCAGGACAAATAGTCCGTGGTTCAGTGGTTAGGGGCGTTGGACTTCTAACTAACAGGTCGCGGGATCGAACGCCAGGTTTCATATACCTTGGGGTTGGATATGGCTGACTGACGACGGCTAATAAACCAGAAATGGTCATCCCAGTCTCCCTTGCCTTCGTCGGCAATGCTATTCTGCACATACAGTAGATGGGCTAACGCATGAAGTGTTAACCGAAATTCCGAAATGCGTCTTCGTTTTGAAAAGACTAATTAAGTAGGATTGTAAAATTAATCATCATGCAGCATAATTCTATAATAAATCAGTTACACTGGGATGCAGGTCTTCGAAGGAACTTCTTTCCGGCTGCATGCAAAAACCACACTCTGTAAAAATTGACTACTTAAGTAGCATGCAATTTTCCCACTGATTTTCGATGCCCTTAGAATCTCATATATATGTTGTGGAAAACATGCATGAAAATATTAATTCTTTTGCTCTCTCGGTAGACAATTACATCTTCTTCCAACTTTGTACTCAAAGGAAGGTATAATTCGGTCTTCAAATACTTTCGAACCCCGACCTGCCGTAGCACTTGCATTCAGCGTTTCCAAACTAAAAGCCGTATATTTTCCGCGTACGGAAAACTATACATTTTTCTACGGTATTAAAATGAGACTATATGGGGTTCATAAAATTTGGCAGTGGATTTGTGTCATATTGTTAACTTTACAAATCACATTGGTAAATGCAGAGACATGACGTCTTATAAGCGGCCATTTCAAGGTATTACAAATCTCACAATTATGAACTTTTAGAACCGAAATATACCCTTCCTTCGAGCACAAAGTTGGAAGAAGATGTAATTGTCTACCGAGAGAGCAAAAGAATGAATATTTTCATGCATGTTTTCCACAACATATATATGAGATTCTAAGGGCATCGAAAATCAGTGGGAAAATTGCATGCTGCTTAAGTAGTCAATTTTTACAGAGTGTGGTTTTTGCATGCAGCCGGAAAGAAGTTCCTTCGAAAACCTGCATCCCGGAGTATCTAACTTATTATAGAATTATGCTGCATGATGATTAGTTTTACAATTCTAATTAATTAGTCTTTTCAAAACGAAAACGCATTCCGGAATTTAGGTTAACATTTCACGAGTTAGCCCACCTACTGTATATACACGTACCTGAGGGAGGCGAAATTCTTTGTGGACAAAATAACCTTCATTGAGTGAATTTTCGAAACTGGTTTCCCAGCTCGCCACCAGACTTATGGGTCATGTACAAAAAATTTATTATTTAACCGTGTCGAACAAGTGATTCTGCGTTTAGCCGAGGCCTGGCACGATGCGCATCAATTGCATTTTGTCATCTTCTAAGCATTGACAGCCTTCGCTCCCGTTTGTCCTTGAGGAATTTGTACGTGACACCAAAACCGATACGCCGATTTATGCCTGCCCCATCTGAGTGCACTGCCTCCAGGACTTCATGGCCTTTCCTTATTGGGCGAGCGCCAACAATGCGACTGTTCTCCCATGAAATAAAGGTTATTTTGTTCCCAAAGAATCTCACCTTTTTTTCATATTACACTTCCTGGGATGCCTGTGTTCCGATATATACACATATGCTTATATCAAACGCTTATACGAGGGCCGACCGTGAGAACACGCAA